GCAAATGCTCAGACGCGGCCATTGTCCAAGCTGCCAGCGTGACATCAGGCGCTGTTCCCAGGTTGGCAAATGCCAGGGCGCCGGCGATTCCACGCGCCCATATCGTTTCAGAGAGCAGAAATCATGGAGAGGGCCAGTTCCCCTCCTGAATTCTTTCCTTTGAAGAATGAACCTCCTTTTTTACAGAACTTTTTTCAATTGTATATATCCCCTCAAATGTTTTGCCTACTTTTTTATGTTTGGCTTCGTGTATTACTTGACGTTTTGACGGACCAAAGCATCTCCCCCCCGCGTCTCCCATCCTGGTTGGGGGCCCGGGGGGGTGTGGGCATCATGAAACCGGCGGTGCCGATGTTTATAGATGGAAGGGAATGGCGCCGATGAATAGACGCGGTTTTCCTGAACTTTGTTCCTTCGCTCATGATTCTGACTGACTTGTCTGCTGCCTTTCTTGACTGGGCTGTTCTTTTCTCACCCAAGGTGCCATGATAGAATGGCGTTGGATCCTGGCATGGTATTCGCTTGAGGTACATGAGACCAACTGGCTTGGTGTACAATTCCTTTCGTCATCGCCAGGTGATATGAGGGGCAGAGCGAGTCTTCATTGTAGCTGAACGGCATCTCCAGATGCCTTGGACTCCAGGGCTCACCACGACCTCGAGCCTAAGACTATGTTTGCCAAGGCAAGCGGTGTCGAGCTTTGCCTTGTCCCCGACATGGACTTACACGGTCTGTGAACGACTTGAGAGGGTCTTGATGGCGGAGCATCAGGACGCCACTACACCATCTCTTGACTGCCTGCAACCTGGACTGTCGGGAGCTTGTGTTAGTTCAAGACAATTGCACCCCACGCCAGTCATGGCCCCCAAAGGGGGACGGAGGGCACTATTCATCTCGCGGCAATTATTCAACGTCTCTGCTACGTCTCGTTCCTGTCGTGAGTTTCCTTCGCGAAGTTTACGTGCAAACAAGGCACAAGTCATGTGCTCGGGCTTCACCTGCATTGACGATCGTGCTAACTCATTTCGGTAGGTCAAGGGAACCTCGTATCGTCGGCCCTCGTATCGATCCTTGCATGTTTTTCTCCGGTTCACTTGTCGGCGGGTTTTCCAACCCAGTAGTATTCTTGGACGGGGGACATCGGGCTGCCGGCCGATGAGAGATGCAGTAGTATTCTTGGATGCGGGACCTCGGACTGCGGCCGATGAGAGATGCTCCCAGTCAGAGCACACAACAAAAGGCATGCGTGCCCCCTTTGCTCCAGGGAAAAGGGAACCGGTCACCAGCCCTTCGTCACGTATCAAGATGCATTCACATCGGTTCTTCGCCCTCCTCGGCGCAGCCCTCAGCGCTTGCAGCGCGACTGCTCACTCCATCTCTCGTCGGGCCGCCCTGAGTCAGGGCAACGTCGAGGTTACACTGAGTTCGGCCAAGAGCGCGCCTCTTCTCATCGAAGCGACCATTAAGAACGCTGGCTCTAAAGATCTCGCCTTTCTCAAGCCTGGAACCATCTTTGGATCGACCAGAGTCCAGCTTCTCGACGCTCAGAGAATTGAGTCTGGTACGTGGTGGCGGCAGCAGCTCCCTCGTTATGACATTGACAAGACTGACCTTTGCCGCAGACGGCTCTAGACGGAAGGCCGCGTTCCAGGGAATTGTCGCGTCTGTCGACTTTGATGCCCTGGCGCCAGAGAACTACGAGGTTCTCCGCCCCGGGTCAGCCATTGTCAAGAAGATTGACGCTACTTCTTTATACAGGCTCTCGGCCGGAACCTACGAGTTCTCTGCCACTGGTCTTTTTGCCGCTCAGCCTGACAGTGCCTCTCTGCCAACCGTATCGGAGGAATACAAGTCCAACAAGCTGACCGTCACCATTGACGAGGCGACTGCCTCGCTGTCTCGCGTCGTGCCGGCGCCTCTGCAGCATCGGGCTCTGCTTCAGGAGGATTCGTGCAAGAATACGACGCAGCACCAACTCATGCTCGATGCCCTCGCCAACTGCAAGCCCCTCGCCGAGGCGGGCGCCGCCGAGGCACGCGATGTCACGTCGCTCCGTTTTGTAGAGTACTTCCGCTCCAACAGCTCCGATTCGCGCCAGCTCGTCGCCGACCGTCTCGATGCCGTGGCCAAGGAGTGCAGCACGTCTGACTCGGGCGGCGTGCGCGTCTACTGCACGGAGCCCTTTGACTGGACAGAGTGCTCGGTGCCTCTCGTCGCCTACACTTGGCCCCTGAACAGCTGGGTCATCGTGTGTCCCATGTTCTTCGACACGAGGCCGCCTTTGCCGCAAATGTGCCACAAGCAGGACCACGCGACGACTATGATCCACGAGATGACGCACAACCCGGCCGTCTACGAACCTTCGACTCAGGATGTTGCGTACTCGTACCCTAACGTTACGCAGCTCGATCCGGACAGGGCGCTTGACAACGCGGACACGTATTCGCTTTTTGCGAACGGTATGTTTTGAACGTGACGTCGGTTTTCTATTGCTGACATGGTGTCTGTAGCCATCCATCTTGACTGTCCGGTCGAGAGCTTGCCCAAGTCTTACAACGCTACGCCTCCGGCTGCTTAAGGTAGGATATTCCTTGCCGGAACTGCCTCAACATACAGCATGCTAACGAATAATGGTCTTACTACGGCTTGCTAGAGAAGATCTCACGCGTTGGACAACCAACAGATGTCGGGTGATTAGTATCGTCAAGTCTGATAGTTTACAAAATACGCATGCTCCTTGATGAACGCCACTTGCGATGCCTGCTTTTGCCTCATGCTTGATCCACCCGCTGCCATGTCCGTCTAAATGGCAACTTTGGGCTCCGGCCGAGGCTCCCACCACCGCCCTCCTCGGCCTCCCGCTCGACGCCCCTGTCCTGCCTGACGTCCCCTTCGAGTCCAAAGGCGAACCTATCGCGCGCACTGCCGTCCCCTCTGCCTCCAACCGTGGAAACTCTGTTCGGGCCTCTCGGCGACACAACATCACCCGCATCCCACGTACGACTCATGGGACGTCCTTCGAAGCGCCCCTCATCCTCCGCAACTCCGTCTTCGCCCCTACTCGGCGACACAAGCCCGTACCCAACCTTGACGCGCTTGGCCTCGCCCTCGACCGGCCCGTCTCCCGTCCACGGCACCTTCTCAAGCCAAGGCCCCCGCGTCGCGGCCACGATGCTGCTGAATCGCGTGTTCCGCCACAAGCCTTCTTCCCAGATGGCCACCGTGCCAAACCCGACGCCAACGATAGCCAGCGCGATGGCGGCCGCGTACACGGCCCACAGCTCCCACGCCACGTATCGATACCGGTTGTCGTTGCGCGATCGCGTGCAGGGGAACTTGGTATTCTCGCCGCCGGCACTCACGCCACTGACGACCTCGGGCGCGGCAGCCCACGCCACGGCGAGGAACTGCGGGTTCGACAGCATGGAGAGCAGCATGTCTTCGTAGAAGCCCCGCACGGCGCCCTGCATGTCGCGGACGCCGAGCCAGTTTGTCGGATCGAGGAGGCGTGTCTGGAGGGCGCGCGTGTTGGCAATCTTGCCGGGCTCGGTGATGGAGCCGTTGATGAAGGTGCGCAGTTGCATGCCGATCGAGTGGTAGGCCATGGCGCGGCGGTAGCGGCGTGTGTCGGACGGCAGGATATAGTTTGACTCGGGCACGGCTGTCGTGTTGTCCATGGTGCCGTCGTTGGCCGGCTCGTCGGGGAGAAACGTCGTGTCGACGACGGGATGGAGAAACTCGCGGCGCGTGACGTTTGTGTGCTGCAGGAGACCCGTGTAGTTGAAGAGAACTTCGTATTTCGTCTCGTAGTGCTCGCATCCGAAGATCTTGGGCGTGTAGACCTGGTCCCATTTCGGGTCACTCCGGTTGTCAGGTTGCAGCTCAGCGGGATCGTCGACCTCAGAGTACCCGATCCAAAGAATGGGCTCCGTGCGAAGAGCGCCGAGGTGCTTCGGAAAGGGCGCCGGCGTAGTCGGTATGCCACCGGGCCAGACATCTTCCATCTGCGTCTCCGAGTAGTGCCCCAGGAAGGCCTGGGCAACGTATGTCTGGTTCCCCTCTGGAGCCAGTATCTCCGTCCCGAAAGGCGCCGTCGCGTTGCCCAGCTTCTTCGGCTTCGAGCCGACTCCCGAGGCCAGCTCGGTGCACTTGTATCCCGGACCCGTGAACTGAACGGTGTAGGTACAATTCCAACCCGTGCCGCATATCTCCTCGGCGGCACCGACCCTCGCAACCGGCGTCTTTGAAAGGGCAGCCAGCGTGGCCACCTGTTCAAACTGCCAGCTCGGACTGGTGAAGTAGTCGTACCAGCCTTCGAATTCGTTACCATCTTCGTCGAGGGCGCCACGTGTCGTGTTCCACAGGCTGACGGACAGCGAAATCAGCTTGTCGACGCGCTTCGCCTCGCGCCACTCGTTTGTCTCCTCGGCGGCAAAGTTGAGCGTGCGCACGGCGGGGCAGGTGACATTCTCGACGGCAAGCTCGTTACGCACGGCTAGCGTCTCCGAGGTCAGAATGACGACGAGCGGCGTGCACCAGACGTAGATGGCCAGGATGATGGCGACCCTGGCCTGGCGAAAGATCTCGGCGTTGAAGATGGCCGAAAGATCGTCGGCGGCGGCGAAGAGCGAGTCGACGGCGCTCAGCGTCATGGCTTTTCGGCGCACCGTCAACCACACGCGCTGCTTAAACGCGAGGACGACGGACGCGGCCAGTGAGGCCTTGGCAACAAAGGACAGGGCCGTACCGTAGCGCAACATACGGATGTGGTTGTCGGCAATGCGGCCATCGAGCGAGTTGTAGAAGAAGTGGTGGCCCATTGCGGCGCATATGCCTAGCCAGAGAAAGAAGTACATGTTGTACGAAGGACGCCAGTAGCTGAACCTGTAGGGAGGTGGGCTGGCATCATCACCGAGTGGCCCGGAGCCTGCAGACGGCGGCGCAGGTGGTTGATCGCGTCGTTGCTGGTCAGTAGAGGAAACCTGATTCACCGTGGATGATGCCAATGGCTTGCCGACAGGTTCCTCGCCCGGTGTACGATTCTTGTTGAGGAGAAGGGCTGAAGACGAATGGTAGCCCGGGGTGGTGTTCGCCGTGGACGGCTCGTAATAGCTCTGGTAATTGGAATATGTGAAGTCATGTTCAACTTGTATCGGTGAAGGCTGCGGGCGGTGAGCGGCTGGCAGATTCGAGGCAAAGTAATTACTGAAGGCCGATGTCTCGTCAATCGTCGACTGAGGTGACACGATGCCTGTCCCTGTCGCAGAGGTTCGCGGATTGGGCGCGAGGGGCGAGCTGACCCGTCGTTCGTGCCGTGATACCTGTCCAGGGACACCCGGTGAGAAGGTCGCAGATGTTCCCGAGACCGAAAAAGACCATGTCCGTGAGCCGGAGCCGACTGGCTTCCGCTGAACCGAGCTCCTCTGCGAGATGGGCGTCATGTGTATCGCTGCCGGTTGATTGTGCCGGATGCCAAATGCATCATCGTCCATCCTGGCGATCCTGTCCTCCTCTTCGCCTCTTGGTCCGTTTTGTTTGAATGTCGTCGTTGAGCGAGCAGAGGCGTGGTCGCAACACAAGCGAAGATGACGAGATAACCCAAAGCGCCCAACCGGTGTTGCTGTCGCTGTCGCCCTCTGTCCTGGTATCCGGCCGGAAATAACTGCTGCCACGCGAAATGCCGAAACGCCTTTCTCGCAGTATACTGCGACTTTCGTTTAATGAGGAGACAAGGCGCCGGACTTCGGAGTTCGTCCAAAGGACTCGGAATGTTATTGAGCTGCAGCGATCAGAGCGAGCGATTGGGAGACGGACAAGGCAATGCGCAACGGCGAAGAGGCAATCGACAGCACAAAGAAAGACGGAAACAAAGACAAAGGTGCTAGATCGCAAGCTTGCGAAAGGGGACACGAGGGTGGGAAGTGCTCGAATTGTATGCTTCCTTCGCCGCTCGCTTTCTCACCACCCACCTGCATCCTTGGCGTCAGCATCTGTGTTGCGATGCGACGGATGAGATCCCTGCCTGCATATGCTGTCGGGCTGGGCCTCCAATCTCAGCTGTGAGCGGTCGTGGGCCGAGATCGCCAACTGCGCCGCCCCCAGAGTCCCTTTTCGTCATCCTTCGCCTACCCGTCTGCCGGTACTCGTCAGAGCTGCTGGGCTGAGAAGTCTTGGTGGTGTGGCGGGTGTCTAATTCTCAGGCTGGGCAAGGTCAGCTCGTCAGCCGTCTCGGGAGCAATGCCATCGAGGCGCCGTTCCCGCTGGCTATCTGCACATCAGCATCATCAGCACAGCATCTGGTACGTCGCTGGCTGGAGCTACGAGCACTTTACGAGACGTGGAGGAGGTAAAGATCTGTCCGGATCTTGCTACCGGATAGAGATGAGAACCGGGCACCTCAGATGAGTAGCGCTGACATGGGACTCGGAAAAGCTAGATTAGCTGGGGCTGTGACAAAAATAGCTTGCAACCCTAACCCGCCCCGTAACCCCCCCTGGAATCGTCAAGGTGTTTAAAAACGCGAGTCTCGCCTGGCCAGCTGTGGATATCTGCAGCTGGGAGGGATCTGCAGCTTCCAGCCTGTCCTTGGTTCATGAATTCATGCCCATGAGCAATGTATCATGGACAGCGCCTTACCTCAAATAGTAGAGAGTATGCAGTATAAAGGCGCATTTCATTTCGAGACGGCCCAGAGCTCGGCCTGGCACCGCGAAAAGTGATGGCTGCCCCGATCAATGTGATGCTCAAGGGACCGGATTTTGGGTTCAATCCTTAATTCTTTACCCCCGTCCCTGGTATTGTGAATGACAAGAAGGAATTAGGTCCACGGAAGCCTGAGAGCATGGGAACTCGAAAGTTACAACTCGTGCCCAGTCACGACCTCTTCGATCGTTTAACTTTCGAAGTCTAGGGAGTCCAAAATTGAGGAGGAAATCGGACGTTGAAAGAGGGAACACGCATATCATGCTACATCATCGACAATACAGGCTAACCTTTCGCATCTACAGAGCTCGCAGAGCCACTCAGCCTGCTAGAAAGTCGTATGATATTAGGTTGGTGCCAGCCAGGCAGTTGCTCAATGGCTATAGCGAGCTCCGTGTCGAATCTAGGTTTGTGTAGAAGGAGAGGTATTCTCCTCAAGTTCGAGGCCGTAATACTTCTTAGTATATGAGAGATAAACAGACGTCTCAAATCTAGTTATCTACAGCTAGGAGTACCACCCTGAGCCCTGCGGGATACGGAAGACGGCAACTCAGCCTTATTCAAGATACCGGCTAGGATGCCTCGCGGTGATGACTGGACAAGTACATGACCAGAAGTCATAGCAGTCAGAGATCCCCGAGCAGCTACTTTGCTCCCGTACAGGGAGGGTGTCGAGGCGCGGGGCTTGTTACACTTGACCCTCAATCTGTGATTTCGAGGCTTGATGTGGTGCCACGGACGCCAACGCCTGTGAGGGGTACCAAAAACACCACCCACACCTTGCGTCTCTGAGACGCTAAAGAACCCGACCGAAGCGAGCTCCCAGTCGAATTTCATCAAGGGCCGAATCTCCCCTTATCAAGACAGCTCGCCTACATCTTTTTATGAGGCTGTCGACCAGCTTTCGAAGGGGCGCGGGGAACCATGCATCAGATCGCCCACCTCGAGTCCGAGAATCGGATCGTTCGATAGGGGATGAAGGTACTGAGCCGGCGCCGCAGGGCCAAAGTAACACATCTCCGACGAGGGGAAGCATGGCTCTGAATCCATACGACTCGACAATTGCTCATTTGCCAAGGTCGATGAAGAGATAGGATACACATCGATCCATCCGGCTCTGGGCTCGGGAGGCGGACGAGTCGAGCCTGTGAGGTATCGGCGCGTCTCCAGGCGAGGGATCGGAACAATGCTACGTGATTGTCGAGCGTGATGGAAGTTATTGAGGCCGAAAGGCTGGCTCGGTGGCAACAGACCTGTTAAGCTTCGTGCACAAGACGAACGGCCGGGCCGAACGCGAGGATACAGCGCACCGCGATCGAACGTCATATGGCGGACTTGGCCAGAAGCCTTTCAACCATGCGAGATCTGTAGGGTCTGAGAAAGTGCATCTAAAGCTTTTGAATACATCGTGATGTGTTGTCATGGCGTGAGTCTTAGCCACTCCGACGCGAGTAACTTTGTGGCATCGAGACGCTCTCCCGGATCCAGTCTGATCATGGAGTCGATAAAGCTCAGGAATTTCCTTTTTTCAGATTCTGAATTATCAGGGTTTTTGCTGAATTGCTCTAAAGAGCAAGGCGGAAAAGCGGAGGGCTCAAGGAGTTTGCCTACTGAGATTAGCAGCGACCCAAACAAGGGCCTGCGGAAGCCAGGCAGGTGGTTACGCCCATACCGTCAGTGTCAAAGTATCGGTCCCTGTTTCTGGATCGAGCCAAAAGTGATCTTGGGATATTTCCAAAGACGGCGATCATCTGTGCCAAGTGAGCTTCAGGGCTATATGGAGCATTGATAGTCCATGCGCCGTCAAAAAGAAGTCGGCCTTCCGCAAGCTCCCAGATCTGGAAAAGGACGCTGTTATTACTTGCCGAGGGCCATGGTTAGCCAGAATGCGAGAAGACTCACTACTAGTCCCAAGTTCCAGATGTCAACTTTGTAGTCCCAGTCTGCCCCGAGGATTACCTCGGGTGCTCGAAGCATCTGAGGTTGGATCCACTCCGTGAGATGCTTGTCAAACCAGCTCGCTAGTTGTAGTTAGCTACATCTGCCTACTTGAACTCTAATCGACGGCCTCACAAGTTCCAAAGTCTGCTAATCGGATTGAAAGTTCAGTTGGGTGAGCTATATCTTCTTCGGTAGAGGACAGCTGTGTCGACGCCATATAGAAGTCATTGGGGGGTTCCAGTGGCGAGCCACGTGGTCGAAAAGCTTCAGAAGGCGTTTGCTCGAACATGCTATTGATAGCGGGACTTTCAACGACGATGTTCTGCGGCTTGATGTCTATGATTTCCATTAGCCCCAAGGTATAACGAGGTCGTCCTATCAAGACAGTTTTGTCCTCCAACCTGGATGAGGATATGGTACTAGCCTGTGTGGATGACTCGACATTCATCGTGTAGATAGGACAGAGCAAGCAAAAGCTGTCTTGAAATTCGCTTCACAAGAGGTACGGGAATTCTCAAGTGTGGGAAAAGCCTTCTGTATTTCGACAAGTCTGGGCCCATGGCTTTGAAGACGAGGCAGACGTGGTTTCCGTTTGGACCATGGTGCTCAAAATCGTCCAGGAGCCCCAAAATATGGCCATTTCCAGCATGCTGGATGTGCTGGGCCTTGATGCGTTTCAGGATATCCAGCTCAAAGGTGTCCTTTTGGTGCCCGAAAGAATCGGCAGTGAGAACCTTGAGTGCAACATGTCGTTTGGTTCTACATTTCACGTTAGATCCCAAACCCTTCATCTAGCTGTGTATGAACTCACTCGAGGTTGCACGCAAGCCAGACGGTAGAGTAAACACCATATCCAAGTTTGCTGACAATCTTGTACTTGCCGTTGTTGAAGAGATCCCCAATTCGGACAGGATGGTACCCTCCTGGGCAGTAACGTGCAAGGTTTTCTTCGGAAATGATGCGTGATGGGTGGAGTTTCTTTGAAGAGCGACTGAAAATGGATTTCAGGCGATTCGCACCGGAGTTCAATGCATCTGTGAATGCCATCGTCGAGGCGAGGGATACTGTTGGTGTACTGGCCATGAAGTTAAGATTGCAGAAGCGGTCTGTTGAATGGTTTTGAGCAGTAATCAAAGCTCTAGTACATAATGGGTAAAGGCGGCCTGCCAAAAGAAGCAAAGGTACGTCCACCCAACCAGGAAAACCCATGTTTGGTCGTGATCCATCGGGGCAACCACACTCCCGTATCTGCTCAAGACATGGTTAGCGCTTTGGCCCTATGCTGATCGGATCCCCCGATGTCTTCGTCTGCATCCTCCTAGATCTGAGTCCTCTAGATCTCAGCCTCCTAGATATGAGAAATGTTATGGTCCCAGCATAAGCCAGATGCGAAGCGGCAATTTTGGTCGGAAGACAAGCCCTCGCAATGGCACTTCCTGGCCATGAACCAGCCCACTGGCATCTCTCTTGTACCGTTCGTGTACCGTCATCTTTTCCAACATTGCTTGAAGTATCCTACATTAACTTGAAGACTGATTCACAGACCCGGAACCGAGCTTGCCAATGCGAGGCGTTGGACCGCGATATCCCATCACCAGTCCATGCTAAGAGAGGCCCGAGCCTCAGCTAGTGAAGCGGGCTTTGGTAATGCCCGGGTGAGCTCTGAATCAAAACCTAATGTATTGAGCTTCCATCTCATTTTCGAAGACTACACAGCTGTGACGTAATTATCGCAACACTGCGGGCTCTCTGCGGCCGCATAAAATTGAACCGTTTAGGCAAAACTGCAGTTGGCGACAGCAGGCTCCTAAGCAGACCCTTTTACAAGTCAATCTGGACGCACAGCCGTCTCACGTTGATGAGTTGAATTACATTCGCCACTAATGGACTGGCTACAAATAAACATCCTGCTTGGCTCCGGGTCTGTTTCCTTCTTTCGCATTCGGTTGATTCAGCCAAAGCCCGTCACTCGCATTTCTGACCACATCAACAATTTTCAAACAAGTCAGCGACCTGAGCCCTCTGCTGCCGCTGTCACCGCACAACATGCATCTCACAACAATCCTTTCTCGTTTAGTCCTCACGGCCAGCAAGATATCCGCCAATGAAATCGTTGGGGGTGTTTCGACCGACAAATCTGGACTCTGTTGTAGCTCAGCATGCGACACGGACGGGAAGAAGACATGCTGGGACTGCGGAGTACTCCGATGCGGCGGCTGTTTTGAGTGCCTTCCGTTCTTGCAGAAACAGAGTGAAAATTTCGCACAGCGATGACCTTTATACCCGAAATAGGATCTCGGTTGACGCATTGAGGAGGTCGGCCTTCACGAACGCCTCTGGTACGGCCTGGGGACGCAACATGAGGTCTGTCTAGTGTCGTGACAGGAACATTAGCGAGTGTTCCGTGGGCGCGCGTACAGGACTCTCTCGAGAGGCAGGACATCATCGGTAGCGGTCAGTTGTTCCCTACATCTTGGTGACGCGACTGACGCGTCGTAGTTGTTGCCGATATCTCCTTAGTGGGCTAGGCGACGATCCGCCGTGCGGAACAACGCTAATTGAAGACGATTTTGTTGAGAATTTTGGGACTTGTCATCGAGTGGCGGAGAGAATAGCGCTAGGTAGTTGAATGATATCAGTTCGACTGCAACGGAGCGCCATGAACTGTCTTGCTGACCATTCCGGCCGCTATGGGTGCACTATCGCGGGCTGATAGTTTTGATTGTTGTGGATGCAGTACTGCTGGCTGACCTTGACTGCTTCGTGAACTCCTGGCTGGTGATGAATCGAATGATATTTAGCCTGGCCTTATAATGTGAATATCTTATTAGAAGTTCCGAAGGAGACTTTTTTCGACATCAAGCACACACAGCCTGTATAGAATTTGAACCATATTCTCCCTGTGTTCTTCTCTCTGTCTAGTAACAATCTATTTAAGACTTCGTCCTAGCTAGAGGCTCAATGACTGGCTTGTTATAGGTAGGGCGAAGCTATTCGCGACTATACGAAGAATCTCGGTCGAAATTGAGAAACCAACACGATACCAGTTGTTTTTTGGTGGGCAGCAGATACACTCGTTCAAGTATGAGATCTCCAGGATGGTGGTTTGAGGCAAGATGAAATACTTTCGTTTTGACTAGTTGGATGCTCATATTGAATACTCAACATCTCCTTGTGAACAGTTATTAGAACAACGGCCCTGATGCTTCAAAAGCCTCGCTGAAATCAAAATTGATGCACTCCGGGCAACCATATGGAGACCAAGGGCGGCTCTGCCTGATGCATATCTTGTGTCCACTTTGTGATCTGGGTACTGAACAGCCCGGACTGTACTCGGATTTTGATGCGGGAGCAGCTTCGGCACGCCGAGCATCAGAGCGAAAGCAGCGACTGAGAGAGAGAACTTTAGTGTCGCTAAGGAAGTTATTCACTTCGGGTTATGACCGATGACATACGCGGCAGCTTAGCTTCACAGTGCAGGATGCAAGAATCAGGGATACTGGGTGATAGTGAATGAATGAGGACGACCAGGGTGAGGGCTGCTTGGCTGCGGTGACATTGGGCTCAGCGTGGTCTTGGCGTGTGCTAGGCGTACTGAAGGTTTCTAAGCCTTGTAGAGTTTGGCGTCTCGACTATGTCCGACTGGACCCTCTCTTGCTGAACTTAACGCCCGTGATTCTTTGAGTGTATGTCCGATCAGGACTGGTCTAAATGCCCAGCCAAGACATTGAAGTGACCAAAAGATCGGTCATGCCAACAATCTCATGCAAAAATGCAGTGCTAATACGGCAGGCGAGGAGGGTTGAGACACCTAGTCTGGACAAAACGGGGGAAGCCGGTGGAAGCACACCAAGGTGACGAGAAGTTTTCTGGGGTTTAGGCGGACCGAAAACTCGGCAGTTGGTTAGACCTTCATGTTGAAAGTCATGACCCTAATCTACCTACGTCTTTGGTACTTCCTGTCTGTCGTCTTCCTTATTGTTCGAGCATTGTGCTGCCTTGGACGACTTATGATAATAAGCGTACATAGTTAAGACCAAGATCAACAGCCACCCTAAAATTCTCATCATGTATCCCGTTGGAAAAGGCGTGACGTGAACCCCATGAATAATATCATTACACGCTTAGACTCTAGCTATCTCGTCATTTTATCATTGGTTGTATGTACACGACGATCCGGGCATGTCCCGGTGCTGGTGTCGTAGGATCTAACGTTGGTTGCTAACCTCTCCTCACGCCGGCAGCTTGAATCCAGTACGGCGCAGCTTCTGGAAGACACCATTGGGATCGTACTTCTTGGACGCAGCCTTGACCAGTGCAACATTTTCTGCGCCGTACCTGGAGATAGGGTCCTGGTCCCTGAAGGAGTAGTTGAGGAACTCCCAGTTCTTCTGCGAACCAGTCTTGTCGGCATAGGCGTTGATTGCATCACGGAGCTGAAGGCAAATGGGTAGGATCTTCTCCTGGTTCGCAGGCGTGTCAACGGTGAGAGCAATCAGCCACATCAGAACCGGGCCGTCCTTGACGATGGTCTCGAGACCGAGGACGTTGCCACCCTTGCGGACACTGTGGTTGACAATCGACTGCGTCACAGGCTGGAACTGGAGCAGCACTTCAAAGTTGGAGTCCGGAGCGGCTGCCTTCATCTTGCCGACGTATTCTTGATGCGCCTGTTGGATAAACTCCATGACATGGAGCTCGTGTGTCGTCATGCCGTTCATCCAGCTTGCACTACAGATAACGGTCAGAAATTTGGACACAAAGTGGCCAGGAAATCACCTACTAGAGTCCTAGGGGAGTCGGGCCGGTGAAGTCGGGGACGAGCTGGGCAACAGGGGCGATGCGGGCCGTGCTTGACGTGTTCTGGATGACGCGATATTCGTCGAAGGCGGGCGCGTTATCAATGGAATCGATGTTGCTCAGAACGGACACAAAAATGAATCCTGCAGAGTTGTAGATCATCGCAATGATGTTCTGGCTGGCGAGGTCCTTGTCCATGTTGTTGCCAAAGTTCAGATACGCGTTGAAGAGCTCATCACGCTTGCTCGTGTCGTACGTGCTGAGACCTCCCCACATCATGTTTGAGTCGACAACGTCTGTAGTTCACATTAGGAGAATTTCAGTCGACGTCGAAAGTCTGTACTCACATTGGTCGATACGCGTGACGAGGCCAAAGTTGCCCGAACCACCTTTGAGAGCCTTCCATAGGTCTGCATTCTGTGTGGCGTTGGCGTTGACGATCTTGCCATCAGCGAGGACAACCTCGAAGTTGGCGACAGCGTCGCACGCGAAACCCTCAGAGTTGGAGTGGAAGGAGTACTGACAAAAGTGTTAGCTCATTACTTTGGACTGCCCTTCAACATGCAAAGTCACTTACACCACCGCCGGTCGTGAAGCCGCCGACACCGACAACAGATGCCCGACCGCCAACGGCTGAAACGCCGAAGGGGTCGAGCGCATCAAAGACGCGCTCCCAATCGGAACCAGGCTGGATGGAAGCGGTTCCTGCTGCCCTGTTGTAGGTCGTCGTGTTCATGTACGCTGGCGAGCGGTCAGAATTTGTGAAATATATACTACCCGCCTGACTGCGACTGAGCAAGTTCGTGAATATGAGACAACCCACCAAAGTCAATAGTCACTCCGTCCTTGATGCCGTTGGACCCTGCCCAGGCGGAGTGAGCACCACTCCTCATGCCAAAGGGACACTGGTTCTTGGTCAGGATCTTCACGGTGGCAGCTACATCGGCGGTGCCCAGGGGCAACACCATGCACCATGGCTCCTGAGCCGCGTTGGCGGAGTAGTACGTGTCAAGACGCTGGCTGTAGAGAGCATTGGTGGAATTGATGACCTTGCCCACGAGGTCCTTGTCCTTGGCCAGCGCTGTGCACTGTAATCGACCGACCCGTCAGCACAGAGATCTGTCATTGTGTGGAGGACGCAAGGCATGTCTGGAGAAGGATGGCACAAACGCAAACGCTTTGGGGGCTCTGGACCCCAGCCTCGGCAGCCGCCGTGCGCTCCGAGGCCCAAGCGAGGATCGCTGCAG